ATCTTTCTAAAGGAAACTGCACTTCGAAGAAGTACATCCACTAATATCTTAATACCAACCATCACCGCTTAAAAAACACTGAAGTGGTCTGGTTGCCGGAAGTGGAAGTATGTAAAAACTGCACCTCTTCTCCAGCGTCAGCTACAAACGGTCACATATCCCTTCCAGATACTTGGCAGAGAAGGAACCGTCAGTAGAAATTGTCAGGGATGCCAGCGAATTAGTAAGTGATTTTAGAATGTCCCTGCTTAGGATCCCTCATGTAACCAGCTTCACTGAGTCGAAAATAGCAGCCTTCGACGCAATGCACCTGCCAGCTATGGCTACATATCATTGTTGGTGTTGTCTTTAGTGCACACCACAGATGCCTATGAGGGCCGCTCTTTAAACACTACTTAGCGAGTGTGACTTTTACCGAGCACCCTCTACCAGACAACAACCTCAACCTAACATTAATGGCTTAAATACGGTTTCATAAAGACAGAACACCACTTTAGGTGAAAGACCCCTCATTTTCTTAATTGCTCTTCTACAGCAGTGTAAGGGAACCGATGCCTTCCTCGTTCTCTCTTCAATGCTTAGGTACTACAAAAGCTTCTTTTCCAGTATAAGCCCCAAGTACTTCATTCTGTCAACAAGTTCAAGACTAGAGCCTCCCAATATAAGGACATTTTAATAAATTTTTAGTTTATTCATCATATTTGTATAAATTATATGAGATTTGCACCGCGAGCTTGGGTCTATTGTGCCCTCAATTATGCTACAAAGTAATGTATACTTCGTCTTATTCTGTGTTCTGTACCAGCATGTGGTATGCTCCACTAGTCTTGGACATTTGATTTTAATGGTAATGCACTTGCTCATCCGTATTGTTTCTCAGTTGTCCAATAGAAAACGGATACCCAGATTACTAAAAAGGAAATGTGCTAACCAACTCTACCAAAAGTTCTGCGCCATAGTAGTTAAATTGCAAGTTGCCTTCTTTCGAGTATCGGAGCAAAAGAACTATGCTCAAGTATCTGCCAATGCTCAGGAAGAAGAGATCTTGTTCCAGGTGCTTGATGATTCTACACACTCGCATACTGGGATAAATCCTCTAAACACCTTTATATTATAAATAATAATATAATATTATAATATTTTTCATAAATCGGGGGTTTTAACCATATTTTTAACATTTATTTTTCAATTAAGCTTACTATTTGCTGATACTTCGCGAGAAGTGCTGAATTAGTTTCTTGATCAAATAGAACATAGCAGAAAGGTGAATATACAGTTCTGTGGCCGTTCTGTCGGTTGCTTCGAGTCGATAAATCTGACCTTTTTCAAGCTGTCAATGTTATGTTTCTTATTTCTCTTACCTCTCAGCAGCCACTGTCCGAAGAATCATAAAACAGCAGTAGCTACATGTTGTCAAGTGGGATTCTACTTTGGTTTTTAATAGTTGTTTATTATCATTATTTATTGCTGCAACTTCAAAATTGTGTATGAAATATGAAATTGATATAACTCATTTCCGATTATATTTCTGACATTAAATCATTTAGATATTTAAATTTATTTTATTTGTTTTCCATCGTGTTTCTTCAGAGTTTTTCCATTGAGACTTTTGTACTTGGGTTTGGTCCATATATTGATATCGACAGTTATAAATCTTTTGAGCCAGTCAACCACTGAATGGTAATTGAAGCCGGGCTGTCTGATCGAAATATAACAGTTTTGGAAATAATCTCTGATTGGAGACATAAAATCTAATGAAATTATATAGAATGTATCAACTGATATCTCTTCGTATTCTACAACTATTTTAAGGATGAGTAGAGAATTACACATAATAGTTTTTATTTACTCTTCAGTGTTTTCTTGGATTGATAGCAATATCGAAACAGTAATTTAAGCCTTTGCTATTTTAACTTTAAACACATTTTTTTCACTGTCGTTAAGGGTATGTTATATATTTATATCATCATTTACTTTTACTTATACTTCAAACAATAAGGGTTGAAATGTTTTGATTTAACCATAAAATTTGAATGAACTGCTAGTTTAAGGGTAGTACGTTATACCATCCACGGAAGAAACGAGTAAACTTTTAAAATTGTTTTGTCCAAGAATCGAAATAGAAGTAAAATGGTGTGTACAACTCTTATCTTAATGGTATTATGACCACTTGTCGGAACGATATTATATATTTTATATAATTCGGAATAGTTATCTTATACGATACAAGAAGGTGTAATTCATTCAAACTTTATTGTAACTTAAGGTTCGGTTATTGCAACTATTATGTCATTTAAATCCTTAGCAGATATTTCCACGATTTTTCACTATCTTTCACAAATACTATGTCGAAGGTTCCAAACCAATAGTTGTCATGTATTTTACTAATTTCCAATGTCGTTGTTCCATTATTCCAACTAATCCGAATGTCAACTCATCCCAAAAGATTGCGATGTCTAACGCGAAAGGCAACTACATAAGGTTATAAATGAGTAGATATGGTTTGATCTATTCTATCGATGTATTTTTGCACCTAACCTAACAATTACAGCTCTTCGGATGAGCCACGCGTGCTATTGAGGATTGTGTGTACGAGTATTTACGCCTATTTTGAGAAAATTGTTTCAACCAATTGCCGTCCCGAAAAATATTAGTTTTGAAACATTTAGTTTTTTAAAAAAATAAAATAGACAAGTTTAAAACAATGTAGCTTAGTTGACGACGAGTGGTAGTCGGGTAAGAGAAAATGGTTCTAAATCATAATTACCCAGAAGAATATACCTCCTGATAAGTTAGTAGTCCAAAAAGTAAACAAACTTTTGAAACAACTATTGGACAGTCGTTACCAACATTTTGTTGCTCAGTATGATATACTGTTGATATAGTCCGAAAAATAACACCTTACCACTTCAATAAGTGGCTTTTCGTATAATGGTACAGACCAGGGTTGCAAATAAAGCAATAAAAAAAATAATTGAATTAACATATGAATAAAAATGTATTTTTTATTTTTGTATCTCAAATACAGGACTAAAAATTTAATCGCGCAAACCGGTTTATAAAATATAAAAAAAAAGTTTAATAACACATACCGTATTAAAAAACATCGGTCAAATTGGTTATTTTAACAGCTCTACTACTGTACCGGTTATTTCTCCAGGAAATTAAGTACCTCTAAATAAACACCCTATATTTGTTTGGGTAATCGTTGCAATGGTTGTCATGATACGAAGTAGTGCTTGTTTGATAAAATTACAAATGATTGGACAGACTCTCTCAAATACTTAACGGCGGGTTGGCTCCAAATTGGGCTTATGTTCATTGCTTTCTTGAATATGTGATCCTATTGTGAATCTATTTTGTTTATGTACATATGTTTGTATGTGCCCGAATGTACTTACAAACACATTTTGATAGATTTGTGCGAATTGACATTTGCTTGGGTGAAACAGTGCTAAATATTGGCCTCATAGCTTTTACACGTATATACATACATATGTACACATGTACATATGGAATAATGTTATCATGAAAAACAAAGCTAATAAACATCTTGATAGTTATTGACAGCTCATTCCGATTTCCATGCCTCAAGCTATGTGCATAGCAGTGTTTCCAATAAATATACGAAAATATCTCAACCACAAAGGCGAAGAGCAGAAGATGTGAGAGCGGAAATTTGTGCAATACACGAAGAGAGCTGAGGCAGCAGCGGCTAATTCAAATTGGCGCATGCGCCTCAAAATCCGCTACAATGCGGCGCAAGAGTAATATTAACCCAAAACGATTGTCATCTCCATCACTCATATTGATATTAGATTTGTCAACGCCAACAATGTACAGTTGGGAACGAAAATGACAGCAACAGTAACGGCAACATGCGATGAATGCACACACTCATGCTTACATAAACTCAGCGCACACCGAATCTGTTTGACTAAATAAAATGAAAAGAGCGATAAAAGCGCTGAGGCATTAGCCACACTATAGGCAAAGTGGTGGAGACGACGTCGCCAGCGTCGCGGTCGCCGCTGTTGCCTAGGAAAATCAGGCGACGGCCACTAGCCAACAGGGTGTGAAAGATTAAAATAAAAATGAAGAAATCTACGCCAACAACAACAACAATCACACCCAATGCCAACGCAGTGTAACGGCGCAATAACAACTACAATGCATACATACAATTAAATGAAAAGTAAAAATAATATGGCGGCCAAAGCTGACGGCAGCGAACGAGATGTTTACGATGAGGATCGTTTGTCGGCCAACAACAAACGGCCAGCAAGTCGAAGTCACTCATAGTCCAGCGGCGCAAAAACAATCAAGCGCAAACGAAATGAAGTATGGATTTAAAGCAAAAACAACAACAACTTATACAAATGTAGCAATCACCAAATGGAATGGGGTTGTTGCCATCATCAACATTTTTAATGTGCGCCTTCGAAACGGTTCAATGGGAAACAAAATTTTTCACATTTTATGGATACAGCAAACGGCTTGCAGCAGCGCGTAACAATAACAACAACAATGGCGTTGATTTCTAGCAATCGCTATGTATGCATGAGAACGCATGAAATTCATGTGCGAGCATGTTATGCATTGTGGCTACCTTGTGATGAAGAAGCAACTACACAAGAGCAACATACGAACGAACGATGCGAAGTGCAAAAGGGGCAGTAAACAAATGTCAGGGCTCTAAAGTTATTATATGTTGCTGTTGTGTGTGTGTGTGTTTTTTGCTAGCTTGTGAATATTTCAAACATTGGTATTTGCACTTTTTCTTTTCTGTGCTTCCATGCGTTCGTACGTTCGGTTATTGAAATGCTATGCGCATGAATGGAATTTATTTTGTGTTGCCACACAATCATTCGTTCATTTTTTGTGCGGTTGCAAAACAACAAAAATGCGAAACAAAGTAAAAATAAATTACTTTGACAGGTAGACGCGCACACTGTGAACCCACACGTATACACCAATCCATACACACATGCAGTGACAGCGCCGTATACTAAAATATGTAATGGTTGGGAGCGCACGGGTAGGAAAAATGAAGAACGCGCGCGGGTTGTCGCTCACTACAGTGTTTGCTTATACGAGCTGGCTGACTTGCTCGCTTGCTTGCTTGCCTGCTTTCGCCGTCATTGTGTTAATTGAAAGCAGTGTATTCAATACAGCAGAGGGTAACAGCGATCGTATAAGAATACACAGTAATACTGCGAGCCACCAACAAGGCAGATGCCGCATTGTTGTTGCTGATATAGGCATACAATACTGGATGGAGCGTCAGGCATAACAAATTCGCCAGATGTATTTTATGACATTTTTTCTTTCGTTTGCCTTCCGCCTGCTACGGCGCATACGAGAGATTACAATCACCCCAAAAATATTTCGCTTGCCTGTCTGCCTGTACGTATGCCCAACAAAAGAGTGAGTGAGTGCGTGTATGCGCGCATTACCAAGCGCTTATAGCCATCCCACTTGCACGCTTGTGCCATACATAAACGGGTAGGCGAGGTTTTTCAGGTGTCCCTCGGCGCAAACGTGTTATTTTTTATTCTACACAAACAATGCTTGGCTGCCATCGCCTTTGCCCGCCGCTATGCAATTGTTGTATTGCTATAGCTGGTTATTGTTGCTGTACTGGCTTGTTTGACTGCATTGTTGTTTTTATGTTGTATGTGTATTTTTGTGCAGGCCAGCACAGAGTTGCCGTGTTAGTTGGTTTAGTTGAAGTGTGTCCGTCGTTGCGTTTAGTCGTGTATTTTATTCCGTTCCGCAATTTTGTGCTGGTCGTGTGCTGAGAAAAGTGAAAACAGCAACAAAAAATAAAACCACTTCGGGCCTATGCATTATTATATTTGCTCGGTCTAAAGAGAGCGGGAGCACATATAAAAGCGCGCTCACATATACGACAAACCATTAAAAAATATAATTAGGCAGAGAGCGTTCGGCATTGCTCCAATATGAGAAACATAATGCTAACAAACCCCATGCATTGTTGCAGTATGAACGGGGGAGTGTCTACTACATGAAAATTAAAGTGAAATAATTATATTTTTCAATACATTTAATGCACTATATGGGTTTTGAGACAATATTTAAAGTGTTTGAAGCAGAATATTTTCCGCGGTTTTTGGAGACTCTTCACTCTGTTACCGCCGCTTAAGCTTTTGCGCATACATAAATATGGCATGTTTGCACACCAGCAACGTTGGTCCTTAAGCTCCCGCATACAGGTGCTTGACCCAATTGTTGTATATCATCAATAAAATACAAACACATTAACAAAAAAAAAAGAAAACTTATTACACAAAACCAAAAAGCAGCACACAAATTTTTTTGCTGCTTTTTTAATACACAGTGTTGATTTCTGCATTTCTGTTCGTTCGTAAATTTGAGTTACACACTTTTGTTGTTTCTCTCTTTGTTCTCCCCAAATATATTTTTCTTTTGCTTTGTTCAATTTGTTGCTGATTGTGTTTTTGTGAAGTGAAGTATTTATAAGTTGTAAAGCGAATGCAAATCGAACAGAATTGAATCGACTATGCTGCATGCAAACTTTTAAGTTATTTCAATTGAATTTTTCGTTGAACGATGGATCGTCGTGGATTGAAGTTTATTTCGAAAAGGTATTTCTTGTTTTCCATTACATTTGTTTACAAATCAAATAGTAGTAATATAAATTTTTTATATTAAGTTTTGCTTTTGATACACACTATGCATACTTGATTGCGGTCGTCTGGCGTTTTGTTTGACGTACACAAGTTGGTAATTGTGTTCCCAAGAGACAAAAGTGAAAAAGCGGGAGAGTGCATGAGCACTTAGGTATGTGTTGTGTTGATTACGCAGAACAGTGATGCCAGAATTTTGTATGCAATTAGTATGTTTAAAAAATATATGATAAATAAAATAATTATTTATTTATACTAACGTTAGTAATCATTACTAGTTATTAATATAAGTACTTATATAGCAAGTAGACAAATTTTTTCTAATTATGATTGCAGAAGATTAAAAAAGATTAAAATTTGTACCATTTAATAAATTTTAACTATAGAATAACATTTTCATTAATGTATTAAGGTTATTTCTAATGAAGTTAAGACGCAATTACAAACTGTACGAAGCTGGAAACTTCCGACCACCTGATTCTAAACTGCACAGCATTCTGTAGACGAAAGATCAAGGCCTTTGGATCTATATTTCCGAATATGTACCACGCAGCATTGTGTTGGAATTTATCAGAGTGCTGGGCTCATGTGAGAGAGTGGAGGGCACAATAGACTTTAACGGTGCAAGTCTTAATTTATTTCTATCTATTTAAGCCGCAACTATTTCTTTTAACAATTTTTTACCGCAATAATAACAATTTTATTGTTATATGAGATTCTGCACTTTGCCTCTTAACTTGCTGCGATTGCTAATTAGCAATAATGAAAAATTCTCTCGTAATCTGGCAACTATGCTCTCTTTAATTGAAGTTTCTCTCACACTGGCGCTGAGAGTTTTACAACCTCGTGTATAAAAACTAAACTGAGCATGCTACCACTCAGCATTTTCCCTTCTTTGCTTTTATGCTTATGAAAACAAACGATTTGAAAGGGAATTTTTTTGGTCTGTGTGATTTCCGCAATTTTGAAACAAATATACAAGTGTAAGCAAAGTTGAGGGTACAACTAGGTTAGTTTCTAAGATTGCATAAAATATGACATAACAAATAGTCGGTAAAAACTTTGACAAATTAAGCTGAAGCTTTTCCCTTAAAAGTAAAATCAAGCAGTAAACATTTTTTAACCACACCATATCTACCACCATTCATCATCAAACATTCTTACAGGAATTTATGCGTCCTTTTTCGACACTCTTTCTACTATTGTGGTTGCTGTTGTATTTTTTTTTTTTTTAGCTCTGCTCTTCTTAAGTATGCAGCCAGGTAGATCTCGCTCTTTTGAGACGTATTGCTGCAACAGCAGCCGGCAGACTTTAGCCACCACTTTATTCATAAAATATCATTGAGTATGATTGAAAAGCAATCATTAAGTGTTTTTATGGATATTTGTTGTTGTTATTTGTGATAAAAGTTCTTAATATTTAATTATATGAGTATTTATATTCTCAATGTGTCTATAAATAATTGCCGTTAAGCAGATTAAGCAAGCAAAAGTTATGAAACTCAAAGTATGTGAGCGGAGAGGGCTGATGGGCAAAGTACTCATTTATAAGGATTCATTTTAAAATAGCGTGTTTTTACTTGAAGTAGATTTTTGAACTACAAAAGGGGGATACATATTTATATTTTTATATTAAGATATTTTTAAAGCAGTCAGTATTCTTAAGAGCATATAAGGAATATCTTTATCACAGAATTTTATACTAGAATTTAACCTCGTTAATTTTGTATTTGAGACAATAAACTGAAATACTTCCAATTAGGTGGACCAGCAACCTTCAGTATGAAACAACCTATCTAATTCTAATTATAACATAAAAAGTTACTTAAATTATAAGAAAAAATAGACTAGATATATTACCAATATGTTACGTATGTACATGCTCTAATTTTTCCTCGTAAGTATAAAATAACATAAAAGACCTCTGAAATCCACTTTTGACTAACAACTTCCCATTCAACGTGACGAAATTTTAAATCGAAAATGAAAAAAAACATTTTTTTTTACCATTTTACATATGTTTTCTTACTGTCTTCTATCTAAGCTCGCTTTAGAATCGCTCAACTTGCTCTGCTTACTTTAACTCTTTTCACCTCAGTTGTCTACTCGAATTGCACATTTATCAAAAAACCAGTTTCTCGGTTGCGTAGCACTTACTATTGTTGCTGCTAGCTAGCTGGCCAGTGTACTTCACTGACAGACACTACCGTTGTACACTGTGTGAGGGAGCAAAGTTTTGCAATGCACCATGAACTGTCTGCCTTGAGATGGGTTTCATATTGGAGACACGGACGCTTGGTACGTCCGAGATGTGTAGCAGTTGTTGTCGTTGTCATTAACATCGTCGTCTACTTCTTTGCCGTCTGGCAATGGCTGACATATTCTGATTGAAAAGGAAGTGAGGGTATTTGGAAATTAAAGAAATAACAGCAAAAACACATGCTGATATTGCTGGAAATATCAGATTACTAGCGGGAGTTGAGAAAGCGGGAAACGAAATGATTTTAGCTGGTGCTGGTAACCACAAGTCCCATAGGGGTTACCAAGCACCACCAGCGACACGGCTCATACGACTTTGGCATATATAAATTCAGAAAATATTTGCTACTGTAGCAAGTTTATGTTAGGCAGGGAAAAATTAAGGCAATAATAAGTAGCTACTTTACCCTGCATCATAAATTACCATTTTGTGATGAGTTTTTAATGTTTTAATGCCGCTTGAGGGTACAATTTAGCCACACAACAAACCACCACCAGCTGAAACATACAAATTTCCACACAAAATCATACACTTTCCTCCGATATTAGACGCTCACGAAAGGCAACATTATATTGCGCTCATGAAATGAATTACATGAAACGCATTACGTTGCGTCTGGCAACCCTCGTGGCAATTTTAGCAATTCTTTTTCATTGCCACGATTTCTCTCCGCATTCGCTTTTAACATGCTTGTATTGCACATTCGCAGTTTTAAGTGTTAACAGCTTGCTGCGCTCTTCTAACCAGCGGCCATTAAAAGCCAGCCGCCGCCATCTCTTTTCGTCACACTCGCCCAGTATGGCGGACCGGTTTTTGCTTGTTGTTTTTTTTTTTGTTTTGTATCTTTTATTGCTTGTGTAAATGTTTCTGACAGGCCGGTCGGGGTACACCATATTTGACAACTGCCCGAAAAAGGCACCGAATAATCGATAAATCGTTGTTGTTGCCTTTTGCTTGCTTCGACGGCTGCGCCTTATTTTTTTATTTGCACACGACGTTTCACCAACCACCATAGCAGTGGCAACAACAACCACAGGCGTATGGTTATAGCTCTAGCGACGGCGCAAGGCAGACGACGAGTTGCTGTTGGCTTCTCTTTCTACCCGTAGAGCAGCCGTTACCAAAGCGCAAAGAAACGCCACCACTAAAGCCACTTTATCAGCTGCTACCGCTGCTGCTCTCTGCTGTCCCTGTGCAACCATTTAAATGGTTTTTAATTTTTGTTTGGTTTGCTTCAGTCCTATATACATACATATATAGATACACACATATATACACATATGCCGTCGTCTCCCTCCTCCGCCGTTGCGATTGCCAACATCATCTTTATAATCATTAAAAGAATGGACGCCATAAATTTTAAGGAAAAAGAGGAGAGCCGCAGAAATTCAACCCGTAATACATACGAACAACAACTCTGGGTAGCAATAGCAACAACAGCAACAAAGCATTTGTATTACATTTAGGCGAACACTGACAGCGCGGAGAGCGTGTGTAGATATGCAAACACACATATATGTATATATATAGAGAGAGAGAAGAAAAAAAGTAGAAATATATATATATATATATCCATATATATGTATGTATGTTTCTATGTTGCGTTCGAGCATAATGCAGCAAAATATAAAGGCGGCCCAGCACTCGATTAATTTTCATTCCAACGTGAATTGCAAAGCGTCTGCCTTTTTGTTGTTGCCTATATATTTTTTCTTGTTGCTTTTTTATATTAGCGCTTGCTGCTTTTCTTGTGCGTTTTTTTGTCTTTGCAGTGGTTTTTGCTTTTTCTCGCTTATTACTTTTATGCTGTCTCACCAAGGCTTGTTGTAATTGCTTTTCTTCTCTTGTTGTTGTAGTGCATGCTCCACACGTACCGCCAACTTCTTTGTTGCATGTTTGTGGTTGCTGTTCTTGTTGTTGTTTTTGTTTTTTGTGTGTTGTTTTTGGTTTTTGTTGTTGTTGTTTTTGTTATTGCCGTGCATTGCACGATCAGCCATCAACGCATCAGCAAACATTTGAGGTTCGCTTGCACTTCGTGCCCGGCGACAACTGTTTTGCAAGTAATAACAACACACACACACGTATACATATTGCTTATATATAAAAACATATTATTTGTGTGTTCGTGTGCATAAGTGCATCGATGGCCAGCATTGAATGGCCAGGCACGCAATTGTCGGCCTCAAAGTTAATGTTGTCTGTCGATGAGTTTCAGTTTTCTTTCCAAAGACTCACGCTTGTTGTTTTTGTTTCTTCTGTTTCATTTTTCTTTCTTTTTTTTTCTTTGTCCTTTTGCTGACGCGCGTTAATGATGATGTTGCTGATATTTCATTTTAAACAGCAAATGTTAAAGAATTAATAGCATTGTGCAACGCGAACCAAGCCAACAACAACAACAAGAGCAGCAACAACAACGAAAAGCAGTAGGATAAGATCACTGAAAAAGAATGGAAAAAAATTAATGCCTCAAGACAAACGTTGACAGTGTTCTTTGTTGGGTTTGTTGTTGCCAGTTTAATGATTAGACACTGCAGGCGAGCGCATTCATATGCTATAGCGCTCCAAAGTAACTCTAGTACGTTCAAGAAAAAAAAAATTGTTTCACACTACACAGTCGCCGCTTTGCATTTACTATATGCAGTGGTAAATATGTATGTATGTATGTGTGTGTGTTTGTATGTTTGCAGTAAATCGCCGAAACCTGTGTGCATGCATAGGTACATTTTATTTTTATGTCTGCTTATGCTCTTCTCGTGTATAAAATGTTCTTAGTTTAAAGCAGTAACCCAGCGAGCAAAATTATTGCCGATCTTCCTGTAAATACGCGTACTTTTCGAGATATCGTTCTGTCATTGTGCATACATTCTTTTCTCCGCAAGACCAGCTCATTTGTT